TGTCTTTTATCCACTCGTAACCACAGCCCACAACAAAGACACCGAATCGACTTCCATCTCTTTCATTTCCTGTTCCACAGGAAATTGCCTCGGAGAAAGCTGATAGCTCACTGCTCACCGCAGTAATGTAATCTCTCTTCGAGCTCCCTTTCATTAAAGAAACGGCAGCATTTTGTGCACTGACAAACATGCACTCATTTACCAAAACCCCTGAACAATATGCATCTGTGGTCAAAAGGCAGTTTCCACAATTGCCCTCAACCCATTTTGCTTACAATGATGTTTACGTAAATAATGCTGGCATTTAAATTCATATTTTATGAAAATTAAGGTTTTAATCTCTCTACATTTTTCTTGCTTTCTATATTGAACATGTTTCTGGGTGATAAACTGTGCAAAGGCCTATATATCTTTCAAAAATGATGGGTGCTGTTTGCTGTTATCTCCCTCTTCCACTAGCTGGAAAATTAAGCCCCATTTTTGAAAATCTTGAAATCTGAATTATTTTGCTCTAGATTCATTTCTCCTAGAAGGTGAGATGAGCTTATCCACTTCAATCAGGGCTTGGACGTGTCGACATTTCCTAATGGAGCAGCCATCCCCTCAAAAGCTAATATGAGCGATGGCCTGCCCTGTGAGACAGTGGCCCTTCTCAACGTCATTCGTCACACTATATAATCCCAGCTCTGATACTGCCGGGGGAGGAGTGTCAGGTACTGTGGCACATGCGAGGAGCTCCCAGTGGTCTCTGAAGGGGCAGCTTAAGGAGATGTTGTCTTGAGACAACAGCACCTTCGCCATATGAAATGCAGGGAAAGAAGACATCTCAAGAGACGGCAGCTATGTCCTCTGAACTACAAACTAATCCAAAGGGGCCCCAGACAGCCCCTAAATCACCTGTTGGGCTTCTTAGGAAGAGAGGTCAAGAAGCAATTCCAAAGATGCAACCCGCTATGATGATGTTCTCCAGCAAATACTGGGCTCGGCGAGGTCTATCTTTTGATTCAGCAATGTATGACCAACAACACCTTGCAGCCTCAATGGTGAGTACTGAACAGTTTTGATGGACCCTCTTTTGGGCGCCACATTCCATATAGCCAAATTGCCTTGATATTCATTCAAATTTTGAACATTTGGAACATATGGAACATTTCCCCTGGAAAATGTAATTAGTGGCAGTTAGTGAAATCTAATGAAATGTTTCATTACAAAATTCTATAATATACTGACTGAAAGCCTTGACAGCTGGAACTGGGCACAGTTATGTAATACAATATTTTGACATTATAAAAAAAAAAGGGAAGTTGGTCAAAGGCAAGTTAAGGTCAAAGTGTCTCTCAGTATAAGTTCTCCTCCTTTTGAGGTTGTTAATTACCACCCTTGCATGCTTAACGCTTGTAAATAAACATTTTAAATTACTTTTTAAAAGAAATAAGCTTTTATCTTAACCCATTTGTCCATCTTAAGAGTTTTATATTCACTAAGCAACACCTCCACACAGCTCCGCAGGACATCCTTTAATCGGATAGATGAAAGACCTGACAAAGAAGAACCAAAATCCACTCATGACCTTGGGAAATTAGCAGTGATTTTCTCTCTGAAGAATGAAGTGGGCTGTCTGGTGAAAGCGCTGAGGCTCTTTCAGGTTAATGAGCATCTCATCTTCTGGTGGGGTAGATTAATAGTACATTTTAATAAGTATATCTAATGCATAGTACTTATTTAATAATCATTTTGATAGGCTTTTGATTGAAACCAAAGTGACATCTTGCCGTTGTATGTTTAAAGGAGAAGCATGTGAATTTGTCCCACATCGAGTCTCGGAGATCTAAGAGAGTCACCAATGAGGTGGAGATTTATGCAGAGTGCAACTGCTCAAAGAAAGAGTTCAATGAGTTGGTGCAGCACCTGAAAGACCACGTCAACATTGTGTCATATAACACACCTCAACACGTGTGGTCTGCAGAGACCGGTAAGCCTGAACTTAGAATAGCCATTGTAATTATGTTCTGGCTTTGTAACAATGTTACTGATTCATCTGATGTATTTATTCCAGACTGTTTGGACTGTGTGTGCGTTTTGGGTGGGTTGCCAGATGGGGAAGGAATACCATGGTTTCCCCATAAGATCTCAGAGCTGGACCAATGCTCTCATCGAGTGCTAATGTACGGCTCAGAACTAGATGCTGACCATCCAGTAAGTAAATCTGTTTAGCAAATTTAGCAAGTAGCTCAATGGTGGAGTGAATGAAACCTCGTTCCAATGACAAACAATATACTCTGTTTACTCTTGATTTTGTAAGAAGGTTCTATACACTAATATTCAGTAATGCAATAGCTAACATAAAACAGTACATTTATAAATTTACACTAACTTACAAATTCTGTAAAAATTGTTCATGATGCCCTGGTTAAAAACGAAAACTTATTGTAAAGTGATTCTTTGTTCTTTGTTGCAGGGCTTTAAAGACAAAGTGTATCGGGAAAGGAGGAAGTACTTTGTTGAGGTTGCAATGAACTACAAATTGTTAGTATGGATTATAATATAGTTTATATTCTTTTGTAGTTGATTTTGGGTTTTTGTAGCTCAATTGTTAACTAGTTGAAAATGCTAAAATAGGTAAAAGCAGATTCATAATACAGTGACATAAATGGAAACAATATGAAATTCAAGTTGTAGTTTTTTTTTTAATTTCTTGCTTAATATTAATCAGAATATCTTTTTTTTTTCTCTTTTTTGTCTTTTCAGTGGGCAGCCCATCCCACGGATAGAGTACACACCAGAAGAAGTGAAGACATGGGGAGTAATTTTCAGAGAACTTACAAAACTCTATCCAACTCATGCCTGCCGTGAGTACTTAAAAAACCTCCCTCTTCTCACAAAGCATTGTGGGTACAGAGAGGACAACATCCCACAGCTGGAAGATGTGTCTCGATTCTTACGAGGTAAAAAATGTGTCACATCAAGTCACATCCACGCAATTCTACTTGCATTATTAATTGCATTCATTCAATTCAAACGTCTACACTATTTAATCTGGAGGTTTGGATTGTGAAACTTGCAGAGAGGTCAGGGTTTACCGTACGACCTGTGGCTGGATATCTGTCACCACGAGACTTCCTGGCCGGTCTGGCTTATCGAGTGTTTAATTGCACTCAGTATATACGTCACAGCACTGATCCTCTCTACACACCAGAACCGTGAGTATAAACCAACACCAATGATTTTTATGTACAAAACCATTTTTCTTCATCACCTCTAACCTGTAAACTGTTTTTATGTCCTCAGGGACACCTGCCATGAACTGCTGGGTCATGTACCGCTCCTAGCCGATCCCAAGTTTGCTCAGTTTTCTCAAGAGATTGGCCTTGCATCTCTAGGCGCTTCAGACGAGGATGTGCAGAAGCTGGCAACAGTAAGTGTGACAGCAGCTTATTGAATTCTTAAATGTCATCTCAAACTTGACTGGCAGTCAATACTGAAATAAAAAGGTCACTGAAGTTTTTCATGGCATAAAGTTTGATCTATGGTGTCGAGTCACATGCATTTGCATTGAAATCAGATCACTGGCTCTGTCTGGCAGACTTCAGTGAGAGACAATTAGATATTGGTATAAGGTTTTTGGTGGTCTAAATATGAGTGGGTATATCTCATAAGGGCCTGAAGAAACTTATTGTAGATAATCTAAGCCTTTGCAATATATGCAATAAACCACTGTGCTTTTTTTCCAGTGCTATTTCTTCACAATTGAATTTGGACTTTGCAAACAAGATGGCCAGTTGAGAGCCTATGGAGCAGGTCTTCTGTCTTCTATTGGAGAGTTGAGAGTATGAAGCCCTTTGTTAACTATATGTAAGCACCTCATGTATTAAAATGCCAAGTTTTTAAGTGAATGAATAATCTTCTTTGATTATGCAGCATGCGTTGTCTGACAAAGCAACAGTGAAGATGTTTGATCCCAAAACCACATGCTACCAGGAGTGCCTCATTACAACATTTCAAGATGTTTATTTTGTCTCTGAGAGTTTTGAAGAGGCAAAAGAGAAAATGAGGTAAATATGTCCATTCAGTCAAATGTAAAATTGGACAGTATTCCACAATTCGACTTAATAATGTCAATTAATGTTGTTCCTTCTAAACAGGGAATTTGCTAAAACAATAAAAAGGCCTTTTTCTGTCTACTACAACCCATACACCCAGAGCATCGATTTATTGAAGGACACCAGGAGCATTGAGAACGTGGTTCAAGATCTACGCAGTGACCTAACCACTGTCTGTGACGCCCTGGGAAAAATGAACACGTACCTCGGTATCTAGCTAATCAAAATCATCAGTGCTTTATTGTAGAATAAAACTGCAACTGTTTTACATGATTCAATTCAAATTTCATTAATACTGTAACATCCGCAGTGATGTTGATTATCTGGGTCAAATGTCCATTAGTCTTGCCTTGTTATGAGGATGTATGCCACACAAATTAAGGTGTGAAAGATTGCAACCATAGCCATCACATGGCATTCAAAAATGCAGTCATCATTACAATGTATTAAAGTGATATTGATGAAATATTGATATTATTAGGAACAACAAATACAGGAACAACAAAGCAAAAGAAAGGATTTAGTATCTATGTAGTCTTTGCCTCTTTGTGCCTAATGTTGTGCGTAAGACTCATAGCAAGTGAAGGCAGTTGATATGTACAATTACAGATGATAAAAAAAAAAAAAATTGCCTACATGTAAAAATCACTAGGCGCTATTCTGATTCCAGTGGCATTCTCTATTTGTAAAGAGTATGTTTGTGCTTAGTTTGTTGCTGAAAAGCCAACTTCCCATTCAATAAAGCATTATATTTTGCCCTGTTTTTTATTTTTTTAAAGTGTGCAGCAATGAGTTAAGAACACATTTCATTAGTAACACAAAATGTTATTTTATATTAAATGTATATAAACAAGTACATATTTATAAAAAAGTATAGATTTATAAAATATAGATTTTATAAATCTATTATAGTAGATAATAATATCTTTATTTCATAAATATCACTTTGATCACTAATAACCATCCATTTCACAGTCTTGTCAATGGACCTCTTCATCATCATCGTCATCAAAGGCTTTCTCCTATAGTGTGTCAGAGATGACATATAATTAGTGTGTTGATTGGTTGTTGGTTTTATTCAGTAAACTGCATTAATTTCTAGTAAATGTATTTATTTGAAGCAGTTTTTTTTTTTTTTTTAACTAAATTTAACTGGTGCATAAACTCTCACCCAACCACCATGCTGTTTAACCCAGGGAGCGAAGTTCTCCTGCAGGTACTGAGCTCCGTATCCCATGACCCTGTTCATGGGGTGTAGGTCCAGGGCTTTGAGTCTGCTGGTGACCTCAAAGGCCAGGGCGATCTGCTCACGTTTTTTTCTGCTCTGCAGAAATTCTGGTACACTACTCGTGATGAAGGCTTTAGTCAGTTTTTTAAACAAGTCGTAAGAGAAAGTTTGCTGCAGGTATCCTAAAAGCTCTTGGTTGCTCTGAATCTGAGAAGGCAGAGGGGATATTTAAGAGCAGGAAAAGCTTTTAGGACTACAAACTGAACAGCTTTTTTAACGCTTTGATGTGACTCTTAAATGAGAGTTATAGTATTTTATAATTGATTTTCATAATCGTGTGACTCTTTAATGAGAATTATAGTATTTTATAATTGATATTCATAATATTTGATCACATATTTTCCACAGGAAGCCCTACATACATTTGGTTTGTTTCCACCAAGTTCCAGATATCAAAATAAGTACATTTGTATTTAATTAAAGAGGATTATCTAGAACTACACACTAAACCAAAACTAATCAGTTAGTAACACTACAGACTGTAAAGAGGTCATGATGATTACCGTTTCATTCAATTCGTCCCCTGATGTCTTCAGCAAGTCAACAAGCCTCACTATGACATCTGAGTTAGCCTCTTTCGCAACTAGGACAGACCAGAATTACAATCTGTATAATCAATAGTGTTATAGAAGATAATATTTCAATGACTTTAACTTATTATCTGGTGATTGTGTTGTATATAACAGACAGTACACTTTACCAGGACTGTCTGGCTCTAGTCCTTCATCAAAAAGAAGTCCGTTGTCTGCAATCTGGGCCAGTTTTTCAGCCACATCACCAAATTTCTCATCACCTGTTTTCAACAGACATGACATTAAAATGAGAATAAATGTTATAATAATCTCAGAAAGAGTCACAGATCTCAAATACAGATCTCTCTGGTCTGATCTGATCGTGCCCTCTCCAGTCTGTACATACAGGCGCTTGCGCTTGGCTTCCTCCTCTTCTGGCAGTATGTTTCAAGCAATCGATATTCATCACTACAAGTTATTAAAAGTGAGTCACCGTCCATCATGTGAAACAACCACTGGCTTCTGCATATCGGATAAAGAAACAGGACATTTTAAATCTTATGTTACATGTCACATCCGTAAAAAACGTAATCAAATCAAATCAAAACGAATGTGAATGTGAACTTATTAACATTTCATATCTAAAAAGACTTTAACTGCACTGTATCAGTTTTTAAACTGAAAAGAGTTATGAAGCAAACGTTAAAGTTTAAACGTTTCTCGACGTCACGGATCATGTCTAACGTTAGTTCCTCTGACCGCAAATTCAGTGCAAAACGCACATTTCATGGTTCTAATTCTTTAATCGGACCACATAGAGTCTATTGAACTCATGTAAAAGCAATGTGATCTCTTATTAACTTAACAGAAAATAAACAACAAAACTTACCAGGAAATCGGGTGAAGTTTTCCTGAGAGTTGGAGACAGTCGGTATACTTGCGACGTATGTATTACGTGCACGGAAGTTGTACCTACAGCTGTCACTGCTGCTTTCATTTTTCTTTTCGAATCGTCTTTCACATTGTTTATGTTAATATGCATGTTCATAATAAGCTAAATGATTATGACGCCTCAGCTAGCCAATGTTAATAAACATATTTTTGTAGGCCTATTGTTATATATGGTAGAATAAAAATGCATCTACTAACAAACTTTACTACTAACACAAATGATAAAGTAGACTATGAGTACAAATAAGTTACCTACCTTTCTTTGCGGTTTGTCTGCAAAACCAAAAGTACAGTAAGAACCAGGTAAAAATAATCTGCATCTTAGTTACTAAATTCATTTCACAGTTTATATCAGTAAAAAGTTGAGTCCACTGGCAAAAGACAGTATTTAATTTTTTTTAAGAATGATTAATTTAAAGAATGTAGTTCCCTCTCGAGCTTTCACGAGACATCACGGAGATATTTCTCCGTTATGGGAACTCCTTCCCTTCCAACCTTTCCTGAAGTCCTATTGGCTCCCGCCAGTCCAAATGACTGGCCAATTGACCCGAAGTATGCAAATCGCATGCAAATACTGACGAGCTCGAGAGGCAGTATAAAATGCGGTGCACGCGACAATTACGTCAGAATCTTCTACTTCACCTGTTGAATTCACTATGGCAATAATCTGCAAGATCTGAGCGGGACCGATAGAGCCGCCGGATCAGCACGACTACTGCGTCGCCTGCCTGGGCCTGGCCCACGCCGAGGCGGCGCTGGACGAGTCCAACTAAGGGCATTGCGCGGACCTTCCGGCCCGCGTGCTCCGGACCCGCCGCGATGTGGCTCGCGGCCTATTAATATTTGTAACGGAGGCCAGCTCTGCCTTTAGCCTTCTTGTTAGTGCGCCCGCCTCCCACGCCGGAGACCCACTCAGAGCAGGTGAGTGAGACCTCTTACATATTGTTGTCTTGGTGTGTCTTTTTATTTTACACCTTTAACCCTATGAATATTAAGATAGGGTAAGGATAGTCAAATCTGGCCTAAACCATAAGTGCTCAACCGCCCGCAAGTTAAAGCTCTTCAGGAATGACGTAGAAGTCTCCCTTGTGCTTATTTATTGAGACTTATTTTATTTGTTACAATATAAAGCAGTTAATGAAAAAAAAATAAAACGTCAGCTAAACTATAATCAAACTCTAATGAGCAGTATTGGTGACAGGGTTTCAGATATCCTTTACGCTTAATTCAAGAAGCATCTAAAGAGTACTTTACTCCTCAGTCTCTTTATATTTCTTTTTGGGCAATTCCACTTGTATCTCATTCATCAACTCATCTCCTGTATGATCCAATCTTTCTGTTGTATGAGTATCAGTCTCTGTAAATCATGTCTAATTCACCGGATGTCCTTCCGCTGTTGCCTACGCTCTTGTCTTCTTCTCACACTTTTCCACTTCTTCATTATAGTCTTAATCAGTCAGTCTTACAGTCTTACCTCCGCTTGTGGTTTTAACACCTTCTCTTCTCCCCCGTGTGCGCTCTTGTTAACCTTTGTGGTTATTTGCGAACATTTCATGAAGTTCATGAATTTACTTTTCACACCGTTTGCTCATTTCATCCTGTTATTATAAACAAGCCAAGTAGGCTACATTTGTGTACTCTACATCAATATAATTTTGAGTATTTATATATTCAAGCATATATGTATTAACTTAAAAGCAAGCAGTGTTGGGGGTAATGCACTACAAGTAACAAGTAACTAGTAAAGTGACGCATTACTTTTAAATTAAAAATGAAATATCTGAGTTACTTTTTCTAATAAGTAACGCACGTTAGCTATTTTGTTTTCCCATTTATTCACTGACTCCTCTCCTGTCCCTGTGTTGAGAGAAATTGGGAGTGATTGGTGCGAAGGGGCCAAAAATATAACCTTTGAGGTTTTTGTTATTAAAAAACAAATAAGCAAGCCCAGTAATGCAATTAGTTACTTTTTTATGGAGTAACAATATTGCAATGTATCACTTTTAAAAGTAACTTCCCCAACACTGAAAGCAAGCAAAATATCATGCATTCTTTTCAATGTAATAATCTAACAGAAGTGTTTTTATATGTAATTTTTCAGATAAATAAGCCATAATAGAAACTTCACTTTGGATGCTGTAGGTCTTAAGTCGTTTGTTCTTTTTCAGCATTCTTCTTACAGCAGGCTAGTTGTTTTGCGCGTGACATGTAAAACACAGGCCCAATACAGGTCCCAAGACTGGGAAAGGTATGCATCAGATTCAAGATTAAACAGCGTGTGTGACTGATTTCTTCATCCCCATCCTTAAGTGTGAACATGTAAGGGGCGATAGCCAGGAGAGGTCCATAGATAACAGCTGAAGGGATCAGAATCAGCAAAGCGTTGTTTAGTGCTCTGTTTTTTACAGATGACCCACCTCTTCCACCAGTTTGCCCTTCACCCGGACCTTTTTTGCGGAGTACTTGCACAATGCCTGTTAGACACGCCAGCATTATGAGTAAGAAAGCATCAAGGGTGATTGACAAGTACATAGCTAATTTAGGGAGCCTTTCTTGGTAGGTAATCACTGCAACGCCTAAAGTGACAATCCAAATTAGAGCCAAGCAGACAACACGATACTCCCATTTATTCCCTAGTTTCATGTAGAGGACTGGATGTGCTACGGCCAGGTAGCGCTCTACACACATACTGGTCAAGAGAAGAGGACAGCCGATCAGGTTGAGGATTGAAATGGCCTCTGAAACAGTCAAGAGCTGTCCAGAGCGTTCAGTCATAGAAATGTGCATATTAAAAGGAAGACTGATACAGAAGATGATGTTCAGCACGGCAAGATTAAGCCCCAAAACTTCAGAGGGTGATAGACCTTTCTCGCCTCTCACTAGCATCCATAGCATAGCCACATTAGTTGGGAAGCCCACCACAAAAGTTAAAATTTCTAGTGGCAAGCGAACATAGGAATAATCGTCATCATTGCACTTATCCACAATGGTAAGAAATAACAGATGCATATCGCTTGTAGCATCGCTTGTATAGTTGCTTACATTTGATGTCATGTTTGCCATGCTGACTGAGCACTGTAGAGAAACAACAAAGAACATTGCTTGTAGTACAAAAACATGGCAAATAAAATGAACTCTCAAATGCAGATGCTTATGCATGCATTTAGAAAGTCAAATCTAATTTTGTGAAGTATTATTACAATTTAAAATAACTTTTTTCCCTATTTTTTAATATATTTAAAATTGCAATTTATCCCTGTGATGGGAAAGCTCAATTTTCAGCAATCATCATTCTAGTGTCACATGATTCTTCAGAAATCATTCATTTGCTATTTTGGTGCTCAAGAAACGTTTATTTTAATTATTGATTCAAAAACATTTGCTGATTAATCATTTTGTGGAATCCAGTTTCAGAATTCTTTGATTTGAAAGGATAAACAACAGTGTTTATTTGAAATAGAAATCGTTGAAATCGTCACTTTTGATCAATTCAGTGCATCCTTGCTGAATATATATTTCTTTAAAAAAAATCTTACTGACCCCAAACTTTTGAATGTATTTAATGTATCCAGACACACACCCACACACAAATAATAAATAAATGTATAAACAATTACAAAATATCAGAAGATGTGAATAAAATAAGCAAAATAAGTTGTTACTGAAAATGTTGAGACATTAAAACTGACCTTTTCTTGCTACGAGATCAATTTTATTGTTCACCGTCCTTTTTCTTCTCTCTTTTTTGACAGATCTTAAATATATCAATCCTTGTTCTATTGTGTTCATGTAAATTAAGTAAAATTATTTGAATTCCTGAGTTGGCTCATTGAACGTATGGTGTCCACCACCCAATGAAAATGAGAGAGATTTTTTTTTTTACCACATCTGTTCGGGTTTCGAGAAACAAATATAGCAAATTTTACACAAATCGACAAGGGCATCCAGACTCAAATGAAGACACAAGAAAAATAGATTGACACAGCAATTTATTACAAATGAATCAGTGCGATAAAGTGCAAATTTTACAGTTAGGTTACAAATGGCTCATTCTAACTAAGAGTATATATTGCTGTTTTACAACACATTATGAATGCAATATAATGAAAATGGCTGGTAGTTGACCACCACTAGGAAATTTCTAAACTGTGCAAAACAAAAAGATTTTGGTTTCATTTTATGTTCATACACTACAATATCATCAAAACTACTTCTATTTACAGTTAGGTTGAATTATGTACCTTTAGTGTTATCAAAGATCTAACAAGAATAACCAGGTCCACCTCAAAATGGAATATATTTACAATATAACAAATACTAAAAGACATCATCAACATTAAAAAATATCAAAGTGCTTCTGGTTATACCAACCAGTTAAATCTGCCCACACATCTGTGCAATTTTGTCCGTACTGTCTTGGCCACATTCAGTGCTGCTGATGAGAAAAATTACTTTGCTTGCATTCCTGTTGAGACAAGTCTATGGGTGGGTGACAGTAGCAGCGTGTGGGGTCTTGTTTTTGGGAGGTGTAGAAATCTGTACGTAAACTGGGGTGGTAGAAGAGGTGGAGGGGTTTGGCTCAGTTTGAACCCTTTGGAAAACAAGGGCCGGGTAGATTTGACTGTTGGCGTGGTATGTAGGGTTTGTGCTATGGGGGCTTCTCAGCAGACTCTCCTGACTCCTGTGTGGAAAGACGAAGAGAATTCTGTGATGCACAAAATCACAGAAACTGAGTCACATCTTACAGTATGTCTTATGACTTTATACGTCCTCCCACATATTACATAATATTCAAAAATGTGGTGTGGTTGTAGAGAGTGGGCTCGGGATGTGGGTTGCAATACACATAAGGGGCGTATTGTGCCACGAATATAGACAGAAGAGAGGCTATTCCTGTTGTATTCTATTTTTACATTTTAAAATGTAATTTAGTCCTGTTAATTTGTCACGTGATCCTTCAGAAATCATTCTAATATGCTGATTTGGTGCTCAAGGGGCATTTCTTTAATTTCTTTAAAACAGATGTTTTACGATTTTCCTTACCTCTCATACCCTCTGTTCTCATAGGCTCTGACGACCTCTGAATAAATGGGACTACCAGGAGGCAGTGGTCGGTCGAGACGCTGGGACAAGCTGAAAAGTTTAGGTGGAGGGAATGCCTCCCAGTCTATATGCTCTCTCTCCAGCCAGGACGGGCTCCTCCGAGACCTAGAGCTCCGTGTTTCTCTTCTCCTGAAGGTGAAGACAGTACCTCCACATAATGATTGTTTAAGACTTTTATAGTGCGTGTTGTCTCTAAAAAATGGTGTTCAACTTTAAACATTATCATTATAACTTTAGAACACTACACTACTATCTGTTAAAGCCTATGAATAAATCAAGGAAATATAAAACTCATGAACTGCTACATATTATGTATTTGGACAATTTTGTACACTTAAACCACAATTAAAAATGCATGAGTTTAATTACATTCCATTCAAAAAATCAAACAAGTGGAACCTGCAGAGCAAAATTATAGTAAACCTCTTCTCATGATTTAGATTTTTGGTTGCACTTTATTTTAAGGTGTCCTTGTTACAGTGTAATTATACATATAAGTACTGAGTAATATTTATTAACTACATGTATTTACTAAATGGTTAGGGTTAGGATTAGGGCTGGGCTTAGGGTTACTTGCATGTACTGTAATTATGCATAATTAATTGTTATTATAATAGTAAGTACATGTAACGTGTGTAACAAGGACACCTTAAAATAAGGTGTTAACGATTTTTTTTTATTAAAAATGTGTCATTTTTATGGCTATTTTAAGTATTAAGTGACTAACCTGCTTCTCCCCATCCGATGCTTTTCCTTCTTTTTGCTCATGCGCTCTTGACAACAGCAGACGATGAAGCAGACAGTCATGACAAGAATGACCACCCCGCTCACAACAGACACCAGTAAAGCAATGCGAAGTCCCTGGTCATTTGGTCGAGGGACGCCTAAAAAAAAAAATTGTGTTTGTTTCACTAGATATGATGGCCAGTTATATATTCATAAAATCATATATTTCGCATACATCCAGTGGAAATGGACAAAGTTGACAAAGGAAACAATAATCAGGCATTTTTATAATATGTGACCCTGGACCACAAAACCAGTCTTAAAGGGGTCATATGATGCGATTTCATTTTTTCCTTTCTCTTTAGAGTGTTACAAGCTCTTGGTGCATAAAGAAGATCTGTAAAGTTGCAAAGACTAAAGTCTCAAATCCAAAGAGATATTCTTTATAAAAGTTAAGAGTTAGCCACACCTACCTAAAACGGCTCGTTCGAACACGCCCCCACATACCTACCTCACTATGTGGGAAGATTTGCATAAAGCCCCCAAATGTTCACGCAAAGAAAGAAGGCATAACTTTTATTCTCGCTGTAGTATTGTTGACGCTGCAGCCATGTCCTGAAGACGCTGTGTGCTTCATTGTGAAAGCGAAACTACTTTGTTTGGTCTTCCAAAAGAGGACGATATCCGCTTCGCCATGCCTAGAGCTGATCTGTGCTGGTCGCTGAGGAAATACATCAACTTAGTGCTGTGGATCACCGGATCAGCCCTCACCGTTTTCACCGCTCCTTCGCCGGGACCGCCGTTCTCGACCCCGCCGCCTCAGCTCACTCTTGCCCGGCTTCAGCTCACGCTAAGCCGGGGCTTTCGCTCACGCTAGGCCGCTGTGTGCTTCGTTGTGAAAGCGAAACTACTTTGTTTGATCTTCCAAAAGAGGACGATATCAGCTTCGT